CCCCCCCCCCGGTCCCCCTTAAGTGAGCTTAGCTCACCCTGAATGAGCCAAATTAAAAGCAGGAATCTTGAGGTGATAGTGCAGAAGAGGAGGTGGCCGGGTAACCCGGTAATCCAATATATAGATGGATATATACATATATACATTATATATANNNNATATATATATATATACAAATATAAACCATGTATATATATATATATAGAGATGATGGGGCGATCGAAGCTTAATGCATGATTCGAACCTAAATATATTTCTGTTCTTGTTTCTTTCCTGCTGCTCTGTATTGAGAGGGTATTAGGTGTCCTTGTTTCGTGGGCCCCCTTATCCGTGGAGTGTCAGTCTATGTGGTTTCTCCTGCAGGGCCTCGCCCTCAGACCTATGATCTGAGCTTCAAATACCAAGGGATCACAAATTGTCAAACACCCCGCGCGTGAGCGCAGTCGTCGAATCATAGCGTGGGCTCTCATGCCAAGTACAGGTTGCTGTTAAGGAACATGGACTCAGCTTCTGCAGCACAATGATAAATTAAGCAACATGCTTTCCTCGTTATGTTAGGCTAACTCGAATTCCGGTACGGCAGCCCAAATGCAGGAGAAGGGCCTACAGCCCTAACCAAGCCGGTAGCACCCACCATGGTTGCCCCCTACCAGGTATTAGTCAACTCCAATAAGCCAACTGCCGCTAAAGAACATCAGAAAACCTGCTAATTCTACACAGGCATCACGGCGTGATCGTAGCATTTTTAGGCATGGTCTGGGATGCTGTCTCCGGGGGCATTCCGGGAAACAAAGGATGCTGAGTCATAGAAATCTCTGTTTCAAGCGGCTGGGCTCACTGAGACTTAAACACTGAACTACTGTCCTGTTGCTTGCCAACAGAGCGGGGCCATTGCACTTTGCGCTTTACGCCTTCACTCTGGGATGCCAAAGATTCCTAAACCCAAACGCCTAAGCCAACTCCAAACCCACTTGTCCTTGTGGTGCTGCTGTGCGTCCAAGTTGTGGAGGTCGTGACTGAAGTTGTCGAGGTTATGCTGAGAGTGAGGCTGCTGGTGGTGCTAGACAAGCTTGTGCTGGAGGTCCTTGTCCAACTTGTCCCTGTCGTGCTCGTGGTTGTGGTCTTGGAGCTCGTGCTGCTACTGCTGCTACTGCTACTCGTCGTGCTGGTGCTGCCACTGGTGCTACTGGTGCTGCTGCTAGTGGTGCTGCTTGTCGATTTTGTTCTGCTGGTAGAACTGGTGCTGGTTGTCCACGTTGTCGTGCTGGTGGAACTGCTGCTGCTCGTCGACCCTGTTTTGCTTGTAGAACTGCTGCTGGTGCTGCTGCTGCTGGTGCTCGTCATGGTGGTGCTGCTGGTGCTGCTACTGCTGGTGCTGCTGCTGCTGGTGCTGCTACTGCTGGTGCTGCTGCTGCTGGTGCTGCTACTGCTGGTGCTGCTAGTGGTTGTGGAAGTCTCGCTGGCAGTGCTGCTACTGGTGCTGCTCCCTGTGGTTGAAGTGCTCCGGGTACTGCTGGTGCTGACAGTGCTGCTCCCACTTGTGGTAGTTGAGAACGAGACCGTTGTAGATGTGCTGCTGGTCGTCTGTGTTGTTGAAGTTGTACTGCTGGCTGTGGAGCTCATGGTGGTGGAGGTCGTTAATGTTCGTGTCTCTGTTGTGCTGGAAGATGTGCTCACGGAAGAAGTGGTGCTTATCGAACTGGTGCTGGACTGGGTAGAGGAGGTGGTTGTCCTTGAAGCACAGACTTTTAAGCTCACTTGCAAGATGTCACCCTAGAGCCGCCTTGCAAGTTTCATGTCCCAGAAGCTGTCCATAGAGCTGTACTATATAGTCCCCTATACAAACCCCTTTACGGACATTTTTAGACTCCACATGTGTGCCGAGCATCAACGTTGTCGGCAAGGTGCCGAAGTCCAGTACGGGCAAGTGGTCACCCAAAAGTGATGAATCCTGGCCACGGTCCGTTGTGTCGCCATACCCGAGCCACTCGCCATATCCCATACACTTCACGGTGGCATCGTCCAACAGAGCACACTGAAAACCATTTCCGATGGTTATGTGCTGAGCAGTTCTGCCTGTGCCGTAGTTTGTAGCGGGGAGATTATCTCCCATCTCACCTGCTTCATCCCCGACACCCCATGCCTGGGTGCATGCTCAGGAATTGAAACCAAACTGTTATAGTATTTGCATGTATTCACTCTAGAACGGTTTAGGATTTAGGGCGCAGGGATCAGGATGCCCTAGTATTTACCATAGCACTGTAGCGTGGCAAGTTTTCTTGCTTTCCTGAACAGCAACCCAGATTCATCACTCGGCGTGTCGTCTCCGTGGCCCAGCCTGCCGTTTCCATTGTTCCCCCAACACCTGCAGTCGCTGTAGACCAATAATAAGAAATTTGTCAAGCCCCCTAGGGGTTTCTACGATAACAAACAGGAAAAATATTTCCTAAGGCAACTACAGACACTTCGTCCTGTCATCTGAAAGAATTGTGCAAGTCATGTCCCATCCTGCAAAAACCTTCTTGACAGTAAGGCCAGTGCCCAAGTCCACTGTGGGTATTGTAGCCATCTTTCGATCGTTTCCCCCTCGATCACGCCGATCACCGTAGCCAAGTTGGCCATGGTTACCATAGCCCCAGCATTTGAGGTTGCCATCATCCAAGATCGCCTAGGCAAAGATCTGGCAAAGAACATCCACTAATTTGTTTATAATTTTGATCATCAAGGTGCCTCCTATCTGAGGATGCAAGGCTTCTTGGCATAAATCAAAACTTCAAGCAAACGCTGCCTGGAAACACATGTGTGTTTGTAGCCTGCCACAAAGTCCGTGACCGTCCTTCCAGCACCCACGTCGATCGCAGGAAGATAATCGCCCATCTGGTTTGCACTTTTTCCAATGTCATTGTTGCCGTCCTGCCTTGGGCAGCTGAACACAGAGCCACAATCCCTGAATGCCGCAATGGCCCCGGAAGCCCTCACACTTCCACACATCTTTCCTCATGTGCAGGCCAGGGCGCCCACATTGCCCGTTGTAATTGCCCCCCCAACACTTCAGCGTATTGTCATCCAGGAGGGCACATACATGGCTGTCTCCTTGTTCCGGCCCCCCTAAACAGTGTGCCCAGGATCCTACAAGTAGAACCACTCAGCGCTACCACGCATCAGGTATAGAGTTTAGAGTTTAAACTTATCCGTTATCCGTCTTCTTTTCTCTGAATGACGGAGCCGAGCGTCCACACCCAATCTTTTGTGCGGTTCGGCCGGTTCCCAAATCGACGAAAGGAAGCGCGTCCCCCATTTGTGCTTCGGTGCTCGAACGGTCGGTTAGGTCGCCATAGCCCAACCTAAGTTCTTAGTGCCCGAAGGCGAACATTATGAAGTTAACCAGTGATCGTCAAGTTGTCAGCAGCATCTAGAGTCGAGACCACTGCAAGCCACTACCATCATCATTGACATGCCTATTTCCACACTGCCGAATCCATGCATTGCCGGCTCTGGCTTGTGGGCCCTTACTGGATTCTGCCACTTATTTGCTGGGATGCCTCCGAATCGGATCCCCATTTGTTGCAAAGCACCAGGTAGTTAAGGTATTCACATTGAAAGTCGCGTCCTTACCATTGAGCTATTCGACCGTACTCTGAACTCCTGGTCCTAGTATCTCCCTCAATCCTATTGACCACTACCTTCATAAGGAGGGGGGTGACATCCCCATCTCCCCTCTCCCAAGTATGGAATATTTCCGAAAATAGCTTGAATTCTTCTGATGTGGGGCTCTGTGTGGTTGTGTGTGTGTGTGTGGTATTGTGTGGGTCTGCGCAGCACTGGAAGTTGGTCGGAGTCCCCCCCAACCTAGACCCGCAAGGCCGGCGGTGCTGTTCTGTGCACCTCACGCAGGAATCGCAGAAAGTCTTTCCGTGGCCGGCTCTCGGCCGGCGCCACAGCAGCAAACTTCGAGTAAACGAACCACGAGTAGTCCTTGAAAATGCTCCGAGAAGTACCTCACCCATTCCCCTCAGCCATTTGCCGAGACACTTCCCGGAGCATTTTCAGCACGAGGCAACCCAAGGACTACTCGTGGTTCGTTTACTCGATGTTTGCTGCTGTGGCGCCGGCCGAGAGTCGGCCACGGAAAGACTTTCTACGATGCCTGCGTGAGGTGCACACAACAGCACCGCCGGCCTTGCGGGTCTAGGTTGGGGGGGACTCCGACCAACTTCCAGTGCTGCGCAGACCCACACAATACCACACACACACACANNCCCCCCCCCCCCCCTTCAAATTTCAAGCAGAAGGGACTCGTGATCCCTATGGTAGTCCCCTAAACAATCCCCCGATTTAAGCCCTCTTTAAGGAGTTTAAAGCTACAGTTCATTGAGCCCAGCGCCGTCGATTAAGAAGGCTTCATGAGCTTGGAAAAAGGAGGCCGGGGCTCCGTCGCGAGCTGCGCTTTAATACATGACTTGAGGGCTCAGGGCTTAACCCCAAAACCACAAACTCCTAAATAGCATGCTAATCTTCATTCTCTTTTCCACTGGCATTTACCAGGACCAAGACCCTATAAGCCCAAAGCCGACTTGAGGGTGTACCTGCGCACCCTGCGTTTTTAGGGTCAGTTACAAGGAAAACCCTACTCCAAGTCATACTTGTTGGGATGTGTTGGGACGCAGGAATGCATGGACCCTTCTCCATAAGCAAATAGGACAGACTTTCAGCTCCAGCTGATTCTGTTGAATTTCTATGGAATTTAAGAACCCTAAGCCCTAAACCCCTAAACCCTCAACACCTGCGAGGAACTGGAGCTTCCACTTCTCTCAAGTCAATCTATCTTGTATCTGTTACAGAAAAGAGAGGGCTTTATGCAGTTCGTAGGAACATACATTCGGTTTGGCTCTACCAGTGGCCAAATTCGGGAAAGGTTGGTAGTTTTGTGCTCGTTTCTTAAGAGGGGGTCCCAAACCCATGGCCCTACAATTTCCCATATAGAACCCTTAGCAAACTGGCTCCGCATTACAGTAGACGTCTTTGATTGTTGGCTCCTCAACTTTCTTGCCATAATCCCTCACTGAATATGCTTCTTCTGCAAAGGCATTCACAAGTCCTGAGTTTCTTGTTTTCTTTTCAGGAAGGCAAGTAATGCATTGATTTTTAAAAAAACACGTGGAAACTGTGCCTCAACTTTCCTTCTCAGATCCATGGTTCTTGTGATTCACCATATAAATCTCTTAGTACATTTGCTGCGTTCTGAGCGGAAACTCTGAAATCTTGGCTATTCGCCTTTCTTTATGGACCGTATGTCAAAATTAAAAGGAGTTCTCAAGTCTTGAGCCTCTTTTATCCCCTACATAACTCCTGATGGAACGTGTCTCAGATTTTGGCAGGAACTAGAATATATTCAGAATGCAGATTTGGGTTCCCCAAGGACTCACCGTCTTCATGTTACAGAACTTGACTCTGAAGCTGGTCTCTTATGGCATGGGTGCCGACGTGCAAAACGCAGGGGCGCACCTACACCCTTTAACCCCTAGGTTCTATAAATTTAAACCCATAAATCCTAAACCCTTCAAACTCTAAACCCTAAACCCTACAAGCCCTATAAGCCCTAAGCCCTAGAGCTGGAAGCTGCAACAAGGCAGCTTGCCACCATTGTTCCAGCCCCAGCACTTCCTTGGTTGCTCTTAAGGAACTTACTTTGAGCTACAATGTGGAGAAGCCATATCAATTATAACATATACCATTACCGTAACTGCTAAGGAACCTGATTTAAGTTACATACCGAGGAAACCGTACTAACTACAATATATACGGTTTATGGTAACCTAATTACTACATATAAATAAATAAATACATTCATATATACACACAGATTATGGTAACTTAATTTCGAATAGTGTAGCTTCCTTAACAGCAACCCAGCTTCACCAGGTTGTTGTCCAACAGCGCGCACGCATATCGGTCGCCGACGGCGATCTGCCTCTGGGCATCCACCCTAAACCCTAAACCCTGAACCCTGAACCCTCAGTCCTAAGCATCGGACAACGGACTGGAAGGAGCTAAATCCGGCTTGCGGGTTTACTGTAGGGCCCTTAATTAGAATAGGGTTTTGGTTCTACTAGAATTACAATAAGGAACCTCCAAAACACTATAGGTAATTATTTAGGCTCCTATATTACAGTGCTTTGGGCTTAGGGTTGTTACAGGGTTAATAGGGTGTTTAGGGCTTATAGGGCCTCTAGGGTTTGGGTTTGTCAGGATATGTAAGGCACATCTGTCATTGCTCAGATTCTAAGGAATGTCACACCAAAGCGACATGAACGATTCCTGGGGTACACCCACAGCTACTGTAGGGGCCTTAATACTTGGAAAAGGGTTCTGGGGCCCATTATATTAATATAATATGGAACCCCCGAAATAATATAGGTTAATAAGGCCGCTACATTACACCCACAGCTACAAGCTCTGGGAACTGTTGATGAGCGCTCAGCCATCAAGCTGATCCGAAGAGGCCTTCCATACTGATGATACCGAACCCGGCATGCATAATGTAAGGGCCTTACTAATTACCAATACTATTGTGGGGGGTTCCTTATTATAGTTATAGTACAATCAGTATAGCATACGCCAAAACTCTATTCTGATTTTTAAGGCGCCTACATAACTATCGATTCTGAAATTGAGGATTGAAAGGACCTGTAGGATTGAAGGTATCAGCAGTGTTTCTTGACTAGTCTTGATTTCCTCATTGAATCCTCACTCAGCCACCATCAGCCCTGCTGGCCGCCCTAAATGCCTACAGCTTACTAGTCTGAATTCCCCAGTTGAACGTACACCCAAAGCCATGCTCCAGGCCACTACATTGGGAATACATAGACGCCCGAACGTACTTGTCACTACCTCTCTCGTGGTCACTATCAGTGGGTGCGGGCCGAACCTGACCTAAGCCGCGGATTAAGCTGTAGGTTCTATGGAAGCCTAAATAATTACCAATTCTATTCCTTGGGGTTCCTTACTATAACTATACTATGAAGGCACCCAAAACGCTATTCTAATTATGAAGGCCCCTACAATAAATGGGGCGACAGGTCGATCCTGCTGACCGAGAATCAACGTTGTGGCCGTCAACCCGCAATTCGGCGTAATCGTAACATTGCCCTGGGAGCCTATATTGGAACTGCTGTTGCTGAAAAGGAAGATCTTCATAGAGAGACGGAGAGCGATATGATTATTTTTTCTGTATATATGTATATACACATTATTTGAGAAGCCCATATGTGAATGGTGAGAATTCTGGTCTCCTTGCGGGTCTCCAATTTACAAGGTCTCTACACTCCATGGTGCCACCAAGCAGGAATCATGGTTTTGACAACTCTTCACGTAGGGTCGGTCTGGTATAGTCGGAGAGCAATTCGCTTCCCGACTAGCGGTCAATAACCACCAGGTCATTGGATTCTCGGATGGTTTATGTACGCCTTGATTGAAATTGCAATTCAACAGTTCGGCTCCCTACTTTGGTACCCAAACGGGGGTCAGGCAAATCGATGCATTGCCCGAGATGCTTGGCAGTTCGACCTGATCCTAATTCGATAGCCGGAAGGAAGTCGCCAAGCTCGAACGCGTCGTCGCCGATCTTCGAATCGGTGACGCCGATGTCGGATAAGACCTGATCCAACACGAAACCACGCCACACCCACTTTTGGGAAACGGCTCAGTAGATATACTTTTACTCACCCTACCACAGAAAGACCCCGCTTGAAAGGATAGTAGTGGTTTTGCGCGTCTTTTTCGGGTTCCATATTAATAGTGTATTTATCTTCATTAGCAGAAGCATCGCTCAATTTGGGAAAACTTCATAGCCGACGTTACGGATTCACCCAACCCCCAAAAAGCTAAAGTTTGGACAATACAGTCCAGGCCTTTGCAGCCACCTGCCTCACTAGCGCGATCACGCACATAATCCGCGAACAAAGTCTGCATGATCACTGCTGGATTTCTTCGCAATGCCAAGACTACAGCTCAAGATATTGAGGGTTTTCAGGTTGAGGGTTTAGGGGTTGAGGGTTGATAGCCGCCGCGACACTGTGTCCGGTTGTCCGGATGCGCCGTTTGTAGTCTGTCCGTAGCATTTGACCAGGCCATTGTCCATTAGAACACACATCCTGGGCTTGTTGGGCTCCCGGTAATGGTGTCTGCATACTTGGAGGTTCATGGGTAGTTCGAACGGGGATATAAGTCCTTGCATATGGGTTAAAACCATAGTTATCCCACTTGTAACCCTACTTAATATCTACCCATGATCCTACAAGCAAATCTCCTGAGACCCCATTAACATAACATTCCCTCGTACCCCAGTCATTCCAAAGCACATGTGACTTTCAGGGACAACCTGGGCCCCCTAATTCGGCAGGGGCGTAAAATGCGGATTTGGGGCATTTTGTAACATAGCTGGCTTAGGTTTCGGTCCAGCGTCATCAGGATACTATTTTGGATTATTCCGGCCTTTACATTGCCATCCGTTTATTTGCCATGGGGTCCCTATGTGAGCCAGAGTGCGGTCTGATTGGTATGCACTAATAAAACAGCTATTTACGTTTACTCTTCACGATTGCTGTGTATGACTGCCATTTCTGATTCATGTTCATTATTGCCTATCTACGACCACTAGATCTCATTCCTATGACTATCATTACAACAGAATTTAACCCAACAGAAAACCCTAAGGTGCACAGGAGCAGTCAAGAATCGCATAAGCTGAGACGCCAATGTCCACAGCTGTTCTGCCAACACCAAAATCGGAGGAGGGTAAATTATCCCCCATTTGGTTGGCAGCGTTTCCGATCGCACCTTCATTGCCCGTCGCTTGCATACCATTGTAAACCTGGCCCCAGCACTTTACGGAGTCATCATCGAGAATGGCGCAAGTTGCCTTTCCATAGTGGTAACCCACGATTTTCTTCGGTGAGTACCTCGGCTTTTGGCTGCTCAGTAATTGGCATTTAGCTTTAAAGAGGCCACAGCTTTTCCAATGCAGCACGGTACGTTGCCAATCCTCCACGTAGGAAGATGCAAACTAGGAGTGCTCTTCCAAACTTCCTTAGCAGTTTTTGAACGCCCTGAGGCTGAATTTGTTCGTGTCTATTCTCAAGCTCAAAAGGCACCTCCTCTAATATCAAGGCACCGCATCTCCCTGCCATTCATATACCGGGTTGAGACTCTTTATTATTGGGAGGGGGTGGGGGTCTTAATGTCGGAGCATGTTTTTGCAAAGTCACACGGAGCCACGGACGTCAGCAAGTCCATGATCAAATGTATAAAGCAGAGGGTCCAGCAACGAACACGAAAAGGACCCAACTGAGGAGACGGGTTATGAAAAACCAATGGTCGATATGCCACAAAACGGAGGAAAAGAATGGGACAGATTGAGAGAGAGAGAGAGAGGCGAAACACACAACAGGAACCTTAAATCCTAAACCCTTAGCGGGCAGTCCCCCAAAAGCCTTCTGTACCACCCCCCAAGCTATGAAAACCTGCTGGGGCACACTTATGGGTTTACTTGACCCGCCCCTAAATTGCGCAACCTCTATGCTATAGCTTTTCCTAACTCTTACTAGGCCCTGAATCCCGAGATCCTGAACCTAAATATCTCTATAGGCTTCTACCAACTCTAAATACGCCCAAAATCCCGAACAAACCAAGCCTAAACTCCCAATATAGGGGCCCTAATAATTAGAATAGGGTTTGGGGGCCCAGTATACTATAATTATCATGAGGAACCCCCAAAATAGTATAGGTAATTATTCAGGCCCCTATATTGCGGAACCCTGAACCCAATTTTCCCTAGACCCTTAGCATTCCCTAACACCGGTTTCCATGAACCCAAGCATCCCTGAGCCCTGAACACAAACAGCCCGGAACCCAAGCATCTCCAAGCCTCAAAATCCCTAAACCCAACCAGATCCCTAAACCCTAAGCCCTATAAACCCCTAAACCCGAAGTTGGAAAAAGGACTCCCCGAGGCCCCTGTCGCATAGACCAGCTTCTTTGGCAGCCTTAGCCGGCCGCTGAAAAAAAAACCCAGCAAGAGGTTCACAGAGGGGCGTCGTAGGGTGTAGGGTTTGGGCCCGAAGCCCTAAATCCTAAACCCTAGGTTTGGGGATTTTTTGGGAGTTTCCGGGTTGCAGGCGTGAAGTTTCGGGCCTAAAGTGCTGGGTTTTGGGTCCATATCATTAATGTGGGGGCCTTGACAAATGAGACTTTCGTTTTGGGGTATATTATACGCTAAGTATAGGAAGGACCCCCCAAAAATAGTATAGGCAATTACTAGGGTCCCTATCTTTGGGTTTTGACGGGGTTGGTTCAAGATTCTGGGACCCGCGCGACAGGAAGTGTCCTTCAACATAGAAACAAGGATCGGGCGTTCTCGCGGATTTCTGTCGTGACTGTGAATAAACTGCTCTAGGAAGGAGATACACGAGACACTAATTTTGAGAAGGACCCTATGTGCTTTGGAGAGGATTTCCTGTTTGCTCGCACTCAAGGGGGCCAACCGCATGTGCTTTTTCGGGCGCCAGGGGTCCTTTATGGGAAGAAGGGACTCATGAACATTACCAAAACGTGGGGGTCCAGCTTTTTCTACACTCCCAAATTTACCTCGGGTTGCATACTGTCGGACTCGAGACTCGCCAACCTTGGAAATGCTTGAACTCAGGGTTTTTAGAAGGTGGATTTAAGGTTTTTCAATTTCCAAAGTTCAATTCATCTAAAGGCGGGCCGTTTACATGTGGGCAGTTTCCGTGGTGCCCCCATAAAGGCCCAACAAGTTATGGGAGTGGTATAGAAGGCCCATAAGGGAGGTGTAAAGAAGGGAAAGACGCTGCTGAGATCGCGAATGATATCGGGGTCCTGAGGACGACATGTGCGCTCACACAGCACGCTTCCATTTAATTTGGCATGCCCTAGACCCTGAGCCATCAATCCTAAAACCCCAACCTTGGATAGATTTAGGGGCCCATCAAAATCAAATGTTTTTGGGCTTATAGGCTTAGGGCTTAGGGCTTAGTTGAAAATCAACTTGGGGGATATATACAGTAGGGATTTATGCACGTAAAACTATTCTTGAGGTCTCCATGCAGTGATGCGGGTATCGGCAGAGAGTAGGGCTCTGATATGATTTCTACTATCCCGAACCTGCATGGGATGTATTCTTACCACTGGTATCGTACAACTTCGACTTTTGCCATTTATGACTTACAGCGCTTTCAGTGTCTCTCGCCAGTGCTTCCAGCACTCGAAATAGTTTCAAAAACCCCTTAAGTCCATTTAGAGTCAAAGGATTCCCAAACCTTGAATCCGAGACCTATATCTCACTTGCTACTGTGCACCCCTAAGCGCCGCACGACAGCACGAAGAAGAGCTCGAACAGCAACGACATCACCCTTTCCCTGCTGCCCTTACAGCAGGGAATGGGTTGTGTTGAAAACCACCAACACTACTGTTCCCGGAAGCCTCCAATACCTATATGCCAAGGGTCATACTGAAAAGACAGAGATACATAGAAGATCTGCTGCAAAATGGCATCACATTCTCCAGCTAACCTACCTTTGATGTATGAGAACCGTGCGATGACATTGTCCATGGAAGACTGCTGCGTTCGATCTACGATGGGGCTCTGAACGAGCCAGCTGTGCAGCAGCGCCGGGAAATTCCATCTGTCAAACAGGAGTTGTGTGTAATGGATTTCGGGTGAAAGATGCCAGATCTTTGCAGTGAACTAACTTACCTACCCCTGTGTCTCGTCATCTCTGCCCCCCCAAACATTCATATCAGCGAAGGTTCCGGATAAACTCGGAAGCAGAATATCGGTTCATCGAGCTCGACTACTAGTATCATCCCCAAGAACACACACTGGCTATCTCCAACAGCAGCAGCTGTATTTACGAACTCCTTGCCCACAGCTACAATCTGATTTCCCGCGACTGTTTTTCTCACCATCTCACTCTCCCGTGTTGCCAGCGGATTGCAGCAAAAGGCGCGACCTGGACAAAAGTTACGCTTGCGATGCCAATTGTGATCTGTGATTACCGCACTGCAATGCGCGACGCTTGTCCTCGTCGATCTCAATCTTAAAAACGCTCTTTCCAATTTGGCGAGACGAGTCTTGACTTATCCCTACTGATGTAGCGATTTACCAGCAGCCAAAACAAGAAGCACATGACAACAATAATCTTCAAACACATACACACGCAACAATGACACGACGACTTCAACAACAACGACCACGACCACGACAACGACCACGACCACGACCACGACGACGGCCGCGGAATCATTCCTTGATATATTCCAAACTGCTGGACATGCTCAGGGTCAAGGGTCTAGGGTGTATGCTAAAAGGTCATGTAAAGTCGAAGGTTTCCGTGGCGAACATACAACGCGCCATGGGCAGCACTACATCCGAAAAGAGCAAACGAACAAACGGCAGCTGTGGTGAACTCTGGTATGCCCCGGACCCTGCAATTCATTCCTATTCGCCACTGACCAAATTGCTGCCATGGAAGCTTCTACACTGGACCCTTAACCACAACCGCTGTACCTTACATGGACAACGCTTGAACCTTAGACCGTCAACCCTAAACCCTTTATACCCTACACCGCGCACCCGAAGCCCTAGACCCTTTACACCTTACACCCCGAACCCCACACCCCAAACCTAACACGTCATACCTGTCAAAATTCGTATAATCATCCCAAGCCATCCCCCGACCTCAAGCCGCCTCACATCCCTAACCCAGCCCGCAACTTTTGGCTGAAGCCCAGATACCTTCAAAACTGAAAACTTTCAATACAACCCCCGGACTATCGACCCTCAGGCCGGAGCGCCAGAACCTGAGCGATAAGTCCCAAATCGAACACCACACCCCCAGATCACAACCCGAAGTCCCAAATCCGAGAGCCTAAACCCAAAATGCTAGGCTGGAAACCCAAAGCCCAAATCCCTCAACCCTCACATCTACACCCAAAAGCCTAAACCCACTAACCCGAGTCACTGAGGCCTCCCACAACGCTTGCACGTCCTGAAGGGAAAGGCTGATAAGGAGAGTGGATCGATGTAGGGTTGAGGGTTTAGGGCTTGGGGCTTGGCGTGCAGGGTTTTGGAATGCAGGGTCTGGAGATCTTGAAAGTTTCTGGAAGCTCTGGGCACTTCGTCGGAGACAGGTGCTGGAGTTCCTGATCTTGAACTTCGTCGAGGCTCTTCGGATCGAAGTGGTCTGTTGCTACGAGATCACCCGTCAAGTCGCCATGGCGAATCATGGCCGGCGCCGGCCAAGCCTGGAACGTCATAATCGCAGAACCCAAACCGTGACACCCTCAAAACCCCAAAACCATCGAACCCCCGGACTCGAAAAAACACCTACAATCCTAGAGCCTTTTTCCCCCTCAGCCACAAGCCTCCATGCCCATATTCCTCTCCGAGGAACCTAAACTCTACATCCCAAACCCTATACCTAAAGAGCCTAAAAACTACCAACATCCCGTAAGAATGCAGAGCTTCCGGGGCCCTGGCTGGTGGCTGCCTTTCAAGAGCGGCTCAGGGAGGTAGGGGCTTAGTAGGGCTTGAGGGTTCAGGGACTATTTTTGAACCCCTGTATCAAGTGTTTTTTGACAAGGCGGTCTTTACAAGGACCCCTTGATTGTGGGTTAGGGTCTAGTGTTGCAAAGATGGGTTTGTGTAAAAAAACAATCCCTTTTGGGGGTGTAGGGTCTACGGTTTGAAAATGTGGACAGCCGCACTCAGTCGCTAAGCTTTTGCAGCTGACAGCTAGAGGACGTAATGCTCGACGTCTTTAGCAGTCTGTAGCTTTGACAAGTTTGACGTCCAGGATCTAGGGCTTACAGGTGTCCTCATGCAGGTTCTCATGCGGATACCCACACCAACAAACACAAACAGACACATACGCAGTCAGCCAACGCTTAGAGTGTTGGGCTTCATGCTTCACAGCTCCGTGCTTCTATGCCTCTGGACGAAGAGTTCCAATCAAAATACGGAGCCTCCCGTTGCGTTTGTAAATCGCTTGAAGCTGTTTGGACACACTGTGGATCCACCAATCCTCCAAGGATCCAGACTCTAGACATGCTCAACACCCGGCAGCTTCAATGCCAAAACCTGGTGCCGCAACGTTCCCCTGATGAAGATAATCATGCCACCTTCACTTTCTACTGAATTCCTGGCTACAAAGTCAACCCCTTGACGCCTGAATGTCAAAGAACCCAAACCGAACAACATGTCTTCACTGGTTCGCATGGCGATTCAAAGAAAGCATCGCGCCCCGGGAGGTTGAAAAAAGGTCACAACGGCCGCGAGATCTCGATGATGGGAAGTCTCCCTATGCCTGAGAGTTGAAAGTTACTGCCGGGCAGCCAATAGCCAATACTTTATGATGTGTAACATGGAACCTTCATATCCAGATTTACTGCTCTTTCGCCAGCGGGCGCTTGTGCCTGTGCTGAGACTGCCAGAAAGCACAGGTGCACCCTTCAATGTTCATAAGCCCAGTCGAACATGGCATCGGAGAAAGCAAGCTGTTTCCTTGGATAATTTCTGTGCTTTACACGAAAGCCAAACCGAACAGTTGCCCCTCGCCTTGCTAGCTGAAACCCTAACCTCAAGACCCACATTCTCAAGTCACCTTGCAAGTCCAGCGCCCCACTCATCCCCACGCAAAGCTTTTTACCACTGAGACCATTCAGAATTGAATCGAGAACTTTGACATGACAAACCTTGCGTCCCGAGTTTTTCTGTGAGATCCTAGCATGCACGTGAACAGGAGTTGCGTGTAATGGATTTCGGGTGAAAGATTCCAGATCTTTGCAGCGAACTAACCTTACCCAACCCTGTGTTTCGTCATGTGCTTTCACTCAACGGTGCCTTCCCCCAAACATTCATGTCGGCGAAGGTTCCGGATGAAAGCGAAAGCAGAATCGACCGCCCCTTCCCAATACTCCCCACGATAATTTTATCTTCGCCTACTAGCAACTCTGTATCACATGCCTCGACCTCACCCGCCCCACGACATTTTAATTTCTATGATTTTTCCAATTATATTTACGACCTTAAATGTATTAAAGTGAAGTCCATAATCTCCGAAATTCTATGTTTGAAACTTACAAATAATAGAATTCCACTCAATAGCAATATCATTATAGTCGATACCTCTGTACATGTATATATACATATATATATATATATATGTTCTTTCTTTGTAAATATAGTTATCTAGATGTAGAGAAAATATTGTCTTTTTGTTTTTTTGCTGCTGGCTTGCTTTGGCACGGTCGCCACCAGGATGCACATTCGCTGGAAATAAGGCCTCCAGCCTCCAGCATGTGCATCAAAGAAACTGTGAAAGAAAGCTACTGTATTGCAGATGAAGAACTGCTGGATTGAGCGCAATTACATTGCTTAGGAAACTGGACATTACCGGCTTCAATCTGTTGCCATGCCCTGTTGATGACCCATAGCCTAAACTGTGGCCTCGCAAAGCTAAAATCAACGAGCACGTACTTTGTGTACAACAGACAACCTGGCCTATCATATTGGTGAGTAAGAGTTTGGCATATGGCTATGTTTCGGGCTAGCCAGACCGACAAGTTGCTTGACTCGATTCGCTTGCTGTTCGACTCCAACAAAGCAGTGGACATTCATGGTGATGCAGTGCACTCAACCAACCGTATCTTCCGATCCCCTGCACAGGGCCAGGATGCAACCAGTATTATCCAGCCAACTTGCTTTCCTACAACGATGCATGCGTGAATCATCACTAAGACACAATTCTGAACACAGGGCAGGACTGCTAGGCTGGACTACTGGTGCATAAAAAGATCAACGGAAATCTCCCTGAAATTCATAAGTTGTGTGAGCTAGCGTCACCAGTGGCCGCGTACGTACTGCTCTCAGCAGTGCCACGGCTAAAAAGTGTGCCACACCCAAGCACCTTCAACGAGACAGCATACAGTTTAGGGTTTAGGGCCTAGGGTTGACGGTGCCATTGGGTTGAAGCGCATAAGCATCGAGGGCATCAGTGGCAAATTGCTACGCCTGCTGGGGCCGTAGGTAGAGCTGCCAAGACAAACCATTGGTAAACAGTACTGTTGTGCCGCTACTATAGACATATCCCGACATACATATATAACTATATATATATATATATACAATAACGCACATACATAAACACATATGCATATATATATATACATACATACATGTGTATGCGTGTGTGTGTGTGTGTCCGTGCCGTCACGCCCACCCCCGCCATGTTCCAGACGACTTTACAAGTTGCTTCCAGGTATTATATCTGTAACGGGTCAGCTATGCAGAAAATACTGAAAATACCAATGTGTCGTGGGTGTGAACTGGCTACAGATTAACAGCAG